AATATGAGCTTGAAAACTTTAGCTTGGCCTCGACTTGGATAGATTTGTTTAAATTTTTTTTTATTTTAAAAAAGGCTCTTCGGTATCGCATTCATGTTTAGGCTTCGTTTGAGCTGATCTTTTGTGGGACTCCGTTGCTACCACAACCAATTTGTGCACTTTTGGGATGATTCATATTCTTCGGCCATGTGGCATAATTGCCCATCATGGACTACTCTCCACTAAGTGATTTCTTCGAATACTTCCTCATCTCCAATATCTATTTGGCTCGATGATGAACTTATACGAGCAAATACAAGTCTATATCCATATCCATACCTACACAAACCTATGTCCGTAAATGTGTTCATGAGCCTATGGTTGTGAACACGAGCCTACACAATCGAGCTTAACAATGTTTGGTTCGGTTTGCTTATTAAATGAGCTAAAAAATCGAGTTTGAGCTCGAGCTTTGGTGTGTTTACTTAACAAGTCGAGCTTTAAACAAGCAGATCTCCGGCTGTTTATCATTTGCTGTCCTAATTACAGTGACACTACAATGATAATGACAAGGAACGTTTGTGCCCTTATCAGACTCCCCGAATTCGTTTAGTAGCCAGGGTTAGAATTGGGGGATATCAAGGAGTCCTTTGTGTTTAAATACTAAGTATTATAAAATATAACCCTCGGCCTTCCCTTGTTCTTTTTGTGTTTCAAAATAAACTTTTTACAAGTTCCTCTTGGAGATCAGTTTACCACCAAGGAGGATGGGAAAGCATCAGACTATTGTCCAAGAGGTTCCTTTGGTTTTCCCTGTTGGCTCTAGGTAACAGATCCTGCTTCTACGTTGATGCTAGTACTACTTTTTCTCAAAACATAAATTAAAGTAATGGAGAAGATATGCCTTGTTGAAAATATTACTAGAAAAGGAAGCCATGTCTTCAAAAAATTTCAAATTCCCATCTTTTGTTGTCGCCGGCACACTACACGCTTTGCACTGGAGGCTTAGGGCTCTACCTTTAAAATAAAGCTTACACATACCTTAAAAGTTACCATTCGTACCAAAAGGTCCCTATGCCTAATTGACTCACCATTGACGAAAAGATTGATGGTTTACTGTTTTTATTTTTCCTCCTTAAACTAGTGGATGTTCTGCAAGAAGGCATACCTTTGAGAATCCGTTTATAGTCATTTGTTTAATTATTTTTATTTTTTTGAGAGAGATTCAAATCACTAATTATACTGCAATTTTGCAAATTTGTTTGTGGTATCTCTTAATTGGACCAGCCCATTAAATGTTTTATACTCGTGTCTTAATTTTGCATATAGGAGAGATGTTCCAAGCTTTTCTCACCAATCTTAGTTACCAATTCGCAAACTATGGTGAATTGCCATGTATCTAAAGCGTACTAGAGTGACTCAATTTTGAGAGTTATCACAGCATACTCCCAAATACTGACCTATATTCTTTACCTTCCATTTGGAGACATTCAATTGTTACATATCGTGACAGCACCTTGCCAGTTCCTTTTAATCTTATTCGAACACCTTTTTCTTTAGCCTTTCATATAACAAAGAAAGGCTAAGAAACAGAGGGAAGATACCCATCAATGGGTACAGACAACCAAGATGCAGCTATGGAAGCATGCTTTGAAGGTGTAGATGCAGTTAGATTGTCTCTTTCCGATCTATTACACCTTTTTTTATCCTGCTGATGGTTGTCTGTTCTACCTGTCATCCTATTGGATAGATTGTTCTCTGATTTTCTGTTTTTTTGTTGTCTTGTTTTGGGGTATGCCCCAAACTGGTTTTGGTTGTCTTTTCTTTGTTCTCTTTGTGATCTACAATTGATCACCATCTCCTATTGTACGTTATTGACTACTTGGATCAATAAAATAAATCACATTCAGGGAAAAAAGATGGCCAGATATTCCACTCAACATCAGAAAATTCCTCTTTAGAAGCCCACTTACTAATAAGTAAAGCTACTTGATTAGATTGATGATTAATCCACCCCAGAGAAAAAACTAGAAAATTTTGAAAGCATGGTGGTGATGTCCTCCAAGAGAACAGCAGCTTGCTCTTCCCGAGGCTGCAAATTTATAATCGATCTACAATCATCTTCCACCTCCACTTCCTGATAGCCCGTAGGCTTAACAGCTTTAAACCTTCCCACAAAGTCTTTCAGCACTAGGAACATGCTGAAAGAAAAATGAAGCTACTCTAACAAGCCAATAGCTGAAATACATTTCTCCAACACTGAGAAGCTGTAAGGACTGATTTCATCATTACCTCCCTCCCTACCCTTGAGAAAACTACTTGTTACAAATAAGGGATGAGGGGGAAACTCAGCAGTCGGAAAGAAGCTTGAAGCCACACTTGAAGTCTCTGAGATTAATGCCCTCATCAGCTTCCTTTAAGGTGCAAGAGAAGGACATGTCCACATTTAACTTCCACCTTCCTTTGATAAGGAGGAGACCAGGCTAGTCAAGAGTGAGACAAGGTAGGCATTGGGTTGGAAATACCGAAGCCCTTAGAAGAGGCCTCCTGGAATTCCTTGAAATTGAAACTGATTTATCAACAATATCTTGAGGATCCCATTTAACCTCCTTAAAGTAGTAGTCGTTTCTGCATCTGCAGAGTTGCCACTAGGAGTTTGACTTACTAATCCATTTAACCAGATCAAGAAATGCTTCCAAGAGGACCAAAGTGGATCAGCAAGCTCTAGTCTCAATGGGCTTAATTAACTTCCATGTTTGAGTTGCCACTGGCACTTGCAAAAGACATGAACTATTGATTCCTCAGCTTCCCTACAAAGTTTACACAAAGCATCATTCACAACATTCCTTTTTATGAGGTTCATGAGTACTGGGCTTCTCTCATGACTACTGCCAAATAAAGAAAAGAATCTTCCTTTTAGAATGGATATTCCAAATTCTTTTCCAACATGGTTTAAACTCTTCATTGATGTTGCAGCTGGTAGGAGGAGGAATAGGTTCCTGATTTTGTAAAGAACTTAATGCTAAATAAGCGACAATATGTTGAAAATCTTTAAGCTTACTAATAACTATATATTGGCTGTAAACATTGGTTATAGGAGAAATTAATATGATAGTTAAGAGAATTTTAGATTTCTACAAAATATTGTCGCTGGCTAGTGAATGATATATCATTTGATATTGCTATATTATTCTTCTTGGTTTTTGGGAAACATTGGATACATTACAGTCTAGGGCTGCAAATGAACTAAGCCGAGCTTTAGTCAGTTCGGGCTCGACTTATTCATTGGTTGGTTCAGCTCAGGATCGTGATGAGTTTGAAAACTTGAGCTCGGCCTCAACTTGGATAGATTTGTTTAATTTAATAAAAATAAAAAATAAAAAAAAAAATAAAAAAAAAAAGGCACTCTCTATGTCGCATTCATGTTTAGGCTTGGTTTGAGCTGATCTTTTTTGGGACTCTATCTCTACCACAACCAATTTGTGCACTTTTGGGATGATTCATATTCTTTGGCCACGTGGCATAATTGTCCATCATGGACTATTCTCCACTAAGTGATTTCTTCGAATTCCTCATGTCCAATATCTCTTTGGCTCGATTATGAACTTATACAAGCAAATACAAGTCTATATCCATATCCATGCCTACACAATCGAGCTTAACAATGTTTGGTTCGGTTTGCTTATTAAATGAGCTAAAAAATTGAGCTTCAGCTCGAGCTTGGTGCGTTTACTTAACGAGTCGAGCTTTAAACAAGCAGATCTCCAACTGTTTATCATTTGTTGCCCTAATTACAATGACACTACAATGATAATGACAAGGAAGGTTTGTGCCCTTATCAGACTCCCCAAATTCGTTTAGTAGTCAGGGTTAGAATTGGGGGAGATCAAGGTGTCCTTTGCCTTTAAATACTAGGTATTATAAAATATAACCCTCGGCCTTCCCTTGTTCTTTTCGTGTTTCTAAATAAACTTTTTACAAGTTCCACTTGTATAGTCCTACACTCCACTGTAATTAATGACCTTTTATTTTTACTTTTTCTTTTTTGTGGTTTAGGTCACACCAGCAGCTGGCATCATTAATCCTGGTCAATTTGTGGAGGCTAAGGTACATCACGAAGCTTTTCATACACCTGAAGAGTTGATGGATGGAATTCCACAAAGTCGGTGGAAAGAAGACACCCGAGATAAGGAAGTGATGTTGTTGGTGAATGTAAAAGGCAGTTGTTCCACGGAGATGAGAAGTTATCAAGTCCAAGTACTTCACCGGTATTCAACCAAGACAGTTTGCATTGATTCGAGTAGTAGTAGTTCTAGAAAATCTTAAGGGAGTTCTGGGTTTCAACTTTCAACACGTTGGCAATGCCTCCTATATGGCTATATGGATGATGACCTTTGAAGTTTGTTAGGGTCCTAAGGTTAAACAAGGACAGAAAATATACGGCATAAATGAATGCATTACCTGGAGAAGGGTTGAGGGAATGTTATCTGATTTGAATTTTCATTTTCCTCCTTAGGCAACAATAGTCAACATCTTTTTGTAAAATACTTATGGACTGGTGAAGCTTGTTCTCCGTTTCATAATTGGGACTGATCCAATTTGTTCATCATCATGCTAACAGGTCCAAATATATTCACTGTTCAATTTTTCTTTTCTGGGTAATTATTTTCTCTGTTAATTCACTTCTGGTATTTTCTCTGTTAGTTCCACTGCATGCTTTCCCGTCACTAACAACCAGAAATATAACAAGCAGCACAAGAAATCTGGCTAGTTTTTTATAGTTAATTTTTTTCCCACCTTGCACCTAGTGCTCCAAGTGCACCTAGTTTTACAACATAATTCAATACAGATGAATTTTTACTGAATTTTAGTAATTTTTATTAAAAATTTAAGATCATTATACATGAGAATGGGTCCAAGTAGTTATTAAAAAAACTTACTAGTTATGATTTTTACGAAATTAATAAATAAAAGTAAACTCAATAAATAAAAAGCATACCATATAACATGTGAGAATTAAATAACTAAAAACAAAATAAATATATATGGAAGGGTTCAAATGTTCAATTTCTCTTGTAGTAACTAATACATAAATTGATGCAAAGTAAACCAAATTAGTAAGGGATATTTTATATTGACAAAAGGCTACAGTGACCATTTTTTATAAATGAGTTTACAACGTGATAATGTTTGTGTCCAACCTGTTGATGTAGCCTAATAGAACTTGTCCAACCTGTTGATGTAGCATAATCGGTGGTGCCACCACCACCACTGACGCCCCTAGCAGCTCGTCCTCTACCTCTCGACTCCTCTGTCTGCTCTTTCAACTCTGCCATCACCGTTGAACTTTGCCATTGCCAACTACCACGACCTCCATACCGTATCCTGAATCTGTAAACCAAACATTAGCCCTAAACCCCTAATTCACACACACTACATGCAGAGACTTGTGTGCGTATATATATATATATATATATAGAAAGCAATTAGGGTTTCGGCGGTTGATCCAGGAGGCCGAAGGCGGCGGCAGACCAGAAGAGACTCAGAAGGATTTGGGTTGTCGTCGGACAGAGTGGTCCAGTAGTCAGTGACGGAGGAGGAAGAAAGCGGCATTGCAAAGGAAATAAATAATATAAAAAAAGGAAGATATGGGTTATACCCGCAAGATGCAATGCCCAATTTAAAATTTTATTTTATTTTGGACACCTGTTGTAATCTCTATTAGGCCACATCTTCATCAGAGTTACAACGATTTTTTTTCGTCTTTCCTGAGGTAGAAAAGAAGAAGTAAAAAAGATATAAAGTATAACGTATAAAATAATATTTTATATATGGTAAAATAAAGTGTAACTCGAGTAAATTTCTTTTTTGACTTGTTGAATAGGCTATGTTAGAAAGGTCATTAAATGCTTACTGGAAGAGAATTGTTTTCTGAAAGCATGATACCAAAAATGTTTATTGGGATAGAGGGAGACACAAAAAGATCTTACTATAACTAAAAATGATAGTTGTTGTATTTAAAATAAATAATTATTAATTTTTTAAATTAAGAGTAGAATTTTTATGTCCTTTAAAATTGAAGTACAATTATACAAAAGTGGAGTGCGGTCTCCCAGAAATAATACAATTGCCAAACGTTAGTTTGTTAATTGAACGCAGTGCTTTGAAGACTAATGCATATGGTTGCAATATTATACGGACAATCTGAGTGCAGTCAATGCCATAATTAATTATTAGCCAATTTAATTTTGGTATATATGGTTAAACTCCAACTAGCTACCACTACTAAATTAGGTCTCACTATATATAATAACAAATTCATTGATCCGGATCGTATCACATTGTATTTGCTCCTAGAGCTCCATTATATATATATATATATATAGACTGAGTGGTGACATTAAAAAATTTGCATATCATCATTGTCAGTATCATCATTTTTGTCATAATCTTATATAAATAAGTTAGTCAAATTAATTATCTTTCTCCAATCATTCCTATTCTTGCCATGATTCCATATAAATATGACCAATCACAGAAATTCTCTTTCTCCAATCATTCCTATTAAATATCAGTTCTCCTACTATATTTAATTTTTTTAAAATTATTTTTAATAGATTTAAAAAAATTATTTTTAATATTACCATCTTATGTTATTTTTACACATTTGTATGTATATAGATATTGTAGGTGCAGAATTTCGCTCAACCAATAATGATTAAGATAAATAAAACAACTCACTCAATCAATAGTAAAAATAAACAAGAACAATATATGTCGAAGCGTAGAATTGCTTGATCCCTTTATTGGAGGTCTAAGCCTCTATTTATATACAAAAGATTGTAAAATTATGGTAGGACTCGCGTTGCTTGTCCTCCAATTCTTTCTATATAAACATTCCTTACTAATAGAGTTCTTTCCATTGTCTAATTTTTCATACATAGAACTTGCCTTGTACAGAACTTTCTATCTCGGAATTTTCCTTCTACGGTAAATCCTTCAACTGGTAGGACTTGTGCATTCTTGAATAACTCGGCTGAACATACTTTGATCTGGCTGGGCTTGAGTAACGCACCGGACGTTAAATATTAACAAGTTGGGCTGATGACCTCTTGATTCGGCCTTGATGGAGGTTGGAAGACAAATAACAATGGTCTTGGGCTAAAAATACACTCAATTTGGGCTTGAGCATGATAGGCCTTATATGTCCTTGGAATGTAGATATGTGTAGTGATGACGTGTACGCTTCTTATTGGAGGGAGTTTTTTTCCCTACACACTTTGCCCCAAATTTCATTTTTAATTGAGTGACGGCTCTCATTAAAGAGGGAATTGAAACCGGTTTTTTACTTTGCTTCAGAGACGGTTCGAGGACTTTCATTATTACTCCGTCGTACAAGATTCTACAAGAGTTACATTCGCCCTAGCTGCACTCCTGCGTTCTTCATTCCATCGCCTTGTCAGGTTAGTTTTTTTTTTCGCATCTTTCTCTTCAATCTTTCATTATGAGTACTTCCTCTACTCCCGAACGTATAGACATTAGGGATTCTGAATCCACACCTTCATCTTCCCCCGTTCGCATTAGGGCTCCCCCTCCTAGGGTTTCTACAGATCGTCTTTCGTTGAATCAATTAGGTACTTCCCCCCTTCCATCCGAGACATCCACCTCAGGCTCTGATAATGTTTTTACTCATGAAGAGAGGAAAGCAATCATCTCTATTCATCGCATCAAGTTCTTTATTGCTTCGGTAATGGAAGAATTTGATATTCTTGAGGGAGTAGAAATTGTAGAATATCCCGAGGGTGCCGATTTTACCTCCGGCGAGGGAATTGAAGAGAGTGAGTTGCTTCTTTCGGTAGGGCATCTTAGCGCCCTCCGGTTCCCTCTTCACCCCTTCTATCATTAAGTTTTCAACAAGTTAGGTCTTGCCCCCCTTCAGGTAAATCTTAATTTCTTTCGCATCCTTTCGGCACTGTTGGTGCGCCGAAAATTAGAGGCTCTGGATTTGACCTTTGCCGACCTTCTGCTTACTTATAATATATCTAAGCATGGGACCGAGCCTAGTCGCTTCTTTTTTATCTCTCCCCTTCATCAGAGGATATACACGAACCTTTCTTCATCCGAGAAGAAGTTGAGAGAAATGATGGTTATAGTTAAAGGAAAATGGTCCGTACCCCAATCAATTATGCTCCCCATCCCGCGCAAGTTCGGGAAATTAGGTATAGAATACTTAACCTCCCTTCATACCAAGTGTTCTGGCTGTTTTCCTTGCCAAGTCTTAATGTTTCGCCGTACTTATGAGTTTCTTGGTGTTTTTTCAGCTACATTCCCATCCTCCGCAGCAAGGAACAGACTTTCTTTTCTTGAGGAACGAGTCTGGAGTGACCCCTCGCCTATCGAGGACCTGCTAAATTCTTCAAACCTCAAGGATATTGCCTCCAGTGCTGTTGCTGCAGACCTCATGGATCTATCTCTACCATCCTTTGATAGTTTCCCCATGACTGAGGGGGAGATACGGAGGGCTGAGGCTTTAAAAAAGAAATCCGAAGATGCCCAACCCTTGGTCGTTATTAGGTCTACCGAGGGTGAGGTGGAGGCTGAGGAACCACCAATGAAGAAATCTCGCCTCAACCCCCCATCCTCTGGCAAGGGCAAGGTCCCTTCTAAAAGTAGAGGGAAAAAGGCTGGAGAGGCTGAACCTGAAGATGAAGTCAGGGCATTTGTTCTGGCTGAAACTGGGGCTCCTTGGACTCCTTCCTTCACCAGGGCTGACAAGTCAGTCATGCATTCAGGGGATTCTGTGATCACAGACCCTTCAGCTGCACTGGCTGTGGCCCGAGGGATGTGGCTCCCAAAGGACGAGGAAGCCATCAGCCAAATGGGGTTGGAACAACTACTCCCCTCTGCCCCGGTCCTGGCCATAGAGGTTCGTATTTCTTCTTCAGAATTATGTTACTCTTGCTTACTCATGTTTCCATTTATGCTCATATTTGTTCCTCTGTTATACAGAGTCTATACCACACCATGGCCTTCTGCGCCACTGCTGAAGCCCAATCCCTCTCCATCAAGAAGCTGGAGAAGGATCTTGACAATGCAGAGAAGAGAGCCACCACTGCCTCTACCAATCTGAAGATAGCTACTGAAGCCAAGGATGTGTATAAGAGGCAGTTAGCTGCCTCTGAGGTTAAGGTGGATTCTCTTCAGGCCGAAATTCAACGCCTGACCGAGGCTCTTACTACTTGCTTCAAAGCGGGGAAGCAAATGCAGGGGCGCTACTCCTGTCTGGCACACCTGGCTAGTGCTAAAGTGTTCCGGTCTGGCTATAATTAGGGCTCAGGCCCTAGGACGATGGATCCGGACGCTTTTAACAAGCAGGTGGGGGTGCACTTCCCATATGATGAAGGGCCACAGGCTTTGGAAGCTGAAATCCGCTTTGCCAAAATGGTGAAGACGCACCTAAAGGGTACTCCTAGCTCTTCTGCCCCTGCGGCTTCAATTCCTCCTACCCCAAGTCCTACTGTAGTGGATGCTTTTGAATCTACTCCCTTCGATCCGAAGAGGAAGTAGAACCATGTATTTCGTTTTTATTGACAATATGTTGGGGATAATAAATATAATTTTTGTTTTAGGCTTTCAATACCTGATTTGTTTTTGCTGTATGCTTTTGATATTGTTCATACTTTTCTGACTGGTAATGTTTTTATGACAAACAAAACACATTGTCTTTATGCTTCGGATTTATGCTATCCGAGAAAAAGCAAGGATGGTGGGAAGAAGGAGATCCTTTTAACAGTTTAATTGATATCTCAGGATGATTCATATGGACAATGATCTAACTGTTAAGTGAACTCTTCTTGCCTTTGACTTGCTTGCAGTAGACGTATACATACTCTTTCTTTCTCGTGTGTTCCTGATGTGGGGTGGATCATGATGAACTTATGATATATCCACATCAACAGGGTATTAAACACTTGGAGTCCGGAGGAAAAAGTTCTGATCCGGCCACCAAAGGTCTGAAATGAATTGTTCCTCGGCAATGAGTGTGGAGGAATATTGCTGAATAGGACACTTAGGGTCCGAAGCTGTCTCGGACATTTAGGATCCGAGGCGAATTGTTCCTCGGCACTGGAGGAATATTACTGAATAGGACACTTAGGGTCCGAAGCTGTCTCGGACACTTAGGATTCGAGGCGAATTGTTCCTCGGCACTGAGTCGTGGAGGAATAGTGCTGAATAGGACACTTAGGGTCCAAAGCTGTCTCGGACACTTAGGATCCGAGGCGAATTAAATACTCCCTGGCGCGGAGCCTGAGGGGAGGTTTTGCCGAGCCGGACACTTAGAGTCCGAGGCGAGATTTTTGCCGAGCCGAACACTTAGGATCCGAGGCGAGATTTTTGCGGAGCCAGACACTTAGGGTCCGAGGCGAATGAACTACTCCCCGGCGCTGAGCCTAAGGGGAGGTTTTGCCGAGCCGGACACTTAGGATCTGAGGCGAGATTTTTGCCGAGCCGGACACTTAGGGTCCGAGGTTAAATGAATCACTCCCCGGCGCTGAGCCTGAGGGGAGGTTTTGCCGAGCCGGACACTTAGGGTCCGAGGCGAGATTTTTGCCGAGCCGGACACTTAGGGTCCGAGGCGAATGAACTACTCTTCGGCGTTGAGCCTGAGGGGAAGTTTGTTTATATTTTTTCTCAAACAACTTATCATGAGGCCGAGGATTCAAAAATGATAAGAGG